ACAGTAACTAGTAGAAATTTTAACTCCCAAGCAGGGCTAACTAAGATCCTATCCAACTTAACAAAAAGGGGATCAATCTGGTTATTCGACCAAGTAAAATTTCGCCCGGAAAGCTCAAGCATGGACCTGGTTTACAAATTCTTTGGTGCACTGTGTAAACTCCAAGTTTGACCGTTTGTGAAGGGGGGAGTGACTTGGATGAATACGTTGGAACTTGGAAATGCTGCTAGCCGGGAGAAGCGCGCGGCACGGCCGAGAATAAGAATGATTGCGTATCTCTGGACCGAGAGAAACCAGAAGTGCGTCATCAATTCATCACCATCATCACACTTTGTCATTGACAGCTAACCACCACCATGAATGTACACTGTACACATCCTCCATATGCAGAGCCCTAGGCAGCTCTCGGCCAGCATTGAAGCTGTGCAGGAGAACACTGGAGTAGCAACTCGAGACGGTCACATGCACATTTCGATCCACTGCTGCTTTGCCGGGGCGGGCCTATAAATAAGCGCCCTCGCCTGTGCTCTCCCCCCACCCACCACAAGTTCATCCTCACTCGAGCTATAGCTAGCTAGCCTTCTTCTTCCTCTCTGCTACCAGTGCCTTTGTCTGTCCGTGCCTTCCGATCCAGGCCCAAGTACTGCCATTTCACGGTATGAAGAAGCGGCACTGCATTTCTCAATCCTTTCCTTGGTGCATTTCTTGCCTTGTTTCTTGAATCTTTAGTGCTTCTAGCTGTTTCTAAATCAAACGCATGCATTAGTTGGAATATGTTTTGGTCTGAGTACTAGTACTAACTTGCTATCGATGGATGTGAAGGTGCTGCAGGGGGCTCGTGGAGGATGGAGCGGGCGAACACGGAGCTGTACCTGGAGAACCTGTGCATCATGCAGGCGAACGAGCGGCTCCGGCGGACAGCACAGCTGCTGGCCCAGGAGAACGAGCAGCTCCTCGCCGATCTCAAGCGCAAGCAGCAGCACATGGCGGCCTCTTCCAAGACGGAGGCCCAGCTGGCCAAGGGCGGCGGGCCGTCCGGCGCTAACGTGGCGTCGGCGGGCGCGGCGCCGTCCAAGTCCGGCAAGCAGCAGCCCCAGTGATCACGCCGGAGATGCGCGCGCGCGTGCATGCATGCAGTCGTGGAAGCTCTAGTCATCTTTGCGAAAAACTAGTAGTAGTATGTATTCCTAGATAGGTCAATTAGAGATGGCATGGATGGTTTAGTTCTACTTTTGGTTATGTAGCTAGTGGTGGCAGCTAGCGCTTTGGGGGCTATATATTTTTCTTGTTGCGGTGTGATGGCCTGAGCCCTGATGAGTGCTTGCGAAAATCTGCAGTTTAACGTGAACAATTTGCGAAAATCTGTCTTTTTACAAACACGGCGTGATGTTTATGCAATGGCTCAGGTGAAGACGTTTCAGCAAGTGAGGCTCCTTGACCGAATCACCGAAATAGGCTAGGCTCCTTGACTGATTTTTTTTCTTCTGAAAATGGTATTACTACCAGGATGCACACAACCATTCCTGTACTGAAATAGGTTTTGAGTTTGCTGGATATTTCTTCAATCAGACCACACTACAAATAAACACTAAAAAAAACTCTGAAGAGGATTCCAAAATATAATACTATAAATGCAACTCAATTCTACAAAAAAAGGTTATATTGTTTGTTTTTCTTGCAACAGAGGTACTCATATGTGGTATATATTTCCTGGCTTTCCGGTGATAGTAAGCAGGAAATGAATATGAATATAGAACAGTATTGTGATCATGATCTCTAGGGTGGAGGTGGCACAACACGATCGGTTGAACTCGTGGATTGAATTGCAATGGAGGTAGCGCTTGACTCGAGGTTGCATGCAATGCAATTGACCCTGAGCTGCAGACTACGTCACCAGCACTCGAGTGAGCCCAAGTCCAGTCCAATTAATCGTTAGGTTTGCGTCCTATCCACATCGATAGAGTATGTTTTTCCTTTTCTTTTCTGCAGCGCAGACGATGTACAGAGTGACACATTCCGCCGGCACTTTCGCAATGCCAGGCTTTTCAGTTAATATGTTACTAGTAATTGTATTAGTGCGAGAAAGGTTTGGATACTAGTAGTTGTTTGTTCTTGTTAGAGATGGATGTAGGAAGGCTATCCGGCTATATTAACATTTTTTCGTGAATATGCGGGATGTGTACGAAAGTACCATTCTACACCCAGGAGCAAATGCTCCTGGTGTGAACAGTAAAATAAAAAAAAAATAAAAAGTTTAAAAAATTCTGAAATTTTTTTGTGACATACTTTCACAAGTGTTTCTTGTGCATGAAAATTTTCATCATGAAATCACATTCGTTGAAGTCGTGCCGAAAAAAACAAAATCAGAGCTTCAAAATGCTTTTGTAAGTAACATTTTCAGAGTATCGATTTTGTTTTTTTTACCACACCTTCCACCAATGTGATTTCGCGATGAAATTTTACGTGCACAACAAACATTTGTATAAGTATGCCACAAAAAAAATTCAGAATTTTTTGACATTTTTTTGATTTTTTTTATTTTACTGTTCACACCAGGAGCATTTGCTCCTGGGTGTAGAAATTCCACTTCCGGATGTGTATCTTTTCATTGGTAAGTAAGAAAATGAAGTATGCACATAAAATAAAAAGAGTAGAAAATGAAGAACGTTAAGCGGGCATCCCAAATCAACATACATCAATCAGATACTAATCTGGGTCGCGTGAGAAGAAGACATGGGGTTACTCAGCCCAAGAATACCCAGAACGATCTACAACAATATCGTCTCAGGCCCTTGGTTTAGGCTCTAGCCCAAAGCCCGAAAGTGCCTTTCTGCCCCTTGGTTTAGGCCCTAGCCCAAAGCTCGGTGAACAGTAAATAAAAAAATAAAAAATCCAATTTTTTTCGGGAGAAACATTGACAAAAGTTCTAAGTGCTTGCAAAAATTCGTCATAGAATCACATTCTTGTAAGGAATGGCAAAAAAAAAAACAAATTCAGTGCTCCAAAATGCTTTTGAAAGTAGCAATTTCAGGGTATCAATTTTTTCTTTGCCACGCCTTCTAGGAATGTGATTTCATGACGATATTTTGCAAGCACTTCAAACTTTTGTGAATGGTTTTCCTAAAAAAATGGATTATTTTGAATTTTTTTCGAGTTTACTATTCAGGCGAGCTCAGTTGAGCTCGCGAGCAGAAACTCTGCGTCGCCCAAGGCCGCGCTTCATCTTGGATTTGCGGAAGTACACGCAAGCCCCCCAAAAAAGTGGTATTTAACTGCAAAACTCCCAAACCAGAGGCGGGAGAGGGAAAATGTCCTCCATGCTGGTTGCGTCAGCGCTGCGGGTCCATCCCGCCTGGCATGCCGCAACCATGGTTCAGGTTGGGTGGGCCCGTCGACCACCGCACGACAGGTGAGAGAGCAGGGCTGCTCCAAAATTGTGCATCCATGATGTTGGGCTAGCAAACCAACACACTAGTTATTGAGGAGGAAGATGGGTGGGAGAGAGGATGACAGGTGGGCCCTAAGCCAGCCTAATATTTGAGTAACTTTCTAAAAAAAACATAGAAAAATTTGAGTCAAACGGTGTGAGTTTTTTCATGCCACATCATCACTTATGGAGGGAGCCACCGATCAGATTCAGTGCCAGGTGCTGCTAATCGACCAATCAGTGCTTTCGGCAAATTGTCAACAGAAAACCGGATTTTTCTTTTGCCAAAAAAAAGCTGTGCCATTTTTATTTTGGGTTTGCAATTATGGTTGTTATTACAATTTAATTCATTCCACAAGCAGCTTGCGGACGGATGATGAGAGCGATGCTTCTTCAGTCTCTCCCCCAGTCCCACACACACTACGCGCTTCACCTTAGACTGCCGCTGACTCTCTTCGTCTTGAGAGTTTCAAACATTTTGGGAACTGAGTTTACAAAACTCATGTGTTTTTACAATCCTCTGTTTCTATGTTGCGATTCGATTTTATGTGTGTTGCAGACTTTGTGTACCTTGTCATGCATAAACACGCTGATCCAACACGGTAAGTTCAGAAAGAAGCCAGACAATCACACCGTACACATTAATTACCGCAATCCTGAAACAACACTAGACAGGTCCTTGAAACATCTTACCAGAACAGAGGCCTTCAGCAGGCAAATAGGTTCAGGCCTCACACTCAGTTCACCAAATGAGCAAAAAGTGCACTAGGACTATGGCGACACTTCAAACATGTTCTTACTGCATTCGAGCAACAAAGTACGCAGCAAATTACATATGAGCGAGTTCATACGAATGGGACACTTAGCTAGTAGACGAAAAGCAGCAACTTGATGGTGCTAGATCCATGAAGACCGAAGAACAGAGGGCGAAGTAGACCAGCCGAACAACGCCTCCCAATAGAAATGGAACCCTGCCTAAACAGCAAAGGACACACTGAGCACATGAAACACTCAGATTGGGAAGACATGCAGGGAATATTGATAGAAGTTCAGTTGGTTGATCTAGCTATCAGAATGCTACAAGGAGAGCACAGGTTTTAACTTATATTTGGTAGGCAACATTTTTGGGTAGCACTTACACGAGACAACCATAGAGCAGCTTGCCAAACTGTCCCATTACAAGGGAAGAAATGATGTACACTTACGATTTTCTACCTTCAGTACTGCCTACATTAGAACAGACTACCTAGCTTAGCTAGTCAAGCGTGCAGTTCAGGAACTTAATAATTTCTATTGCATTGTTAACTGCTAAGCTCCCTGCTCCTGCGTGTTGCCACCATGGGCATGCTACTGCCTGTAGTTACCAAGCACCTATGGTCATGACAAGCAGCATCAATATTCAATGGCGCCATATAAGGGGCAACGTTGTGGTTGCCAAGTATGGTACGGTGTCATGGTGGGCTAGAAGGATGTTAAAGTGGTGCACGGGGATATAGCATACAACTCTGGGTTGACTACTGAAAGCTAATAATCGTGAAAAATGCTAATGGTTACTTACAATCAAACAGAAGGTCTATTCTATCTGAATTTGCTCAGAAGGTACTCCATGGGCACATAGGATCTTTGAAATACGGTGAACTATCACATCTTCCTGCGTGCCACATATAATTTTGACTACCTTGAGATGTTGTGATAGCAATGATTGTTCCCTTGAGTTACAACTTCCATCAATTTCGTTCAAATGATAATCCTGTAACAAACAATATATTTTGCTACAGAAGGTAAATGGTAATTTCAAAGATAAAAGCTATCATACTTGGAGAATATATATACCTCAGAAGTTTGCAAATCAAGCTTTAGTATCAGTGTCTCTAGAATGGGTGAGTGCTGGAGAAAGTAAATCAATCCAGTGAAATCATCAGCCACACACCACTCATTGAGCAACAACTTTTTTAGCTTCCTGAACATGGGGCGCCATGTCAAATCCATTCTCAAAACAGACAGCTGGATAAAATGAAGAGGGTTAAACAAAAATTCAAGATATAACTTCAGAAGTACACAATGCTTTCTGAGATACATAAGTACATGCTTTGAAAACTTTCTGGTGGTTCTTATTTTTCATAGTAATTAAGTGTTACCAGACACCAAGATTGATAATCCAAGCTGTGCTTTAATCTCAATCCTACATGTTTGAATATTAAATATGGCTAAAGTATCAAGTAGCGGTGTGCATGCAAACATGCTCAAGAAACATCAAGATTCAAGCATGTGAATTAGTGAAAACATGTAACACACACAAGGAGCTTGTTCCATAAGCTTCTATTGATAGATAACTGGATACAAACTTACATGGGATCTAGTGGATGGCAAAGAACAATAGGAGTTAGCAAAAGCGGGAGCATACCCTTATCGGATAAGATATTGCTGTCAACTTCAAATTCGTAGCACCTGACAAACCTTGGAGAGCCACAGGATAGTCGTTGTTACCGGCTTGAGCATCGCATCCCCCACATGATAGATTTCCACAGTAACACATTTCCTCGCACATTTCTCCAAGTGTAATAGATGCTGCTACCAGTGATGGCATGCTATCAAGCAAAGGAGCCAAACCGTAAAATGGAGCTAGTCTGAAGCCAATGAGATTTGGGGCAGAAATACGAGTGCGTGGATCAAAACCAAAACTCGTGTAGTGAATTTTAAGAAATCGTAATGACTGGGACAAGAGATTCACATGGATATGACAAGCTTTCATCTCTAACACCTGTAGCACCTGACAGCTCGAAAAATCCAGAGAGCATCCCTCAAATCGCATGCGGTAAAGATGTAACCTCTTCAAGTGCGATGAGACAAGAGTCATGTTGATTACCCGCCAGGGAAAACAAATTCGAAGCACTGGAACTTGACAGGATAAAGCATACAGGAGCCATGGTTCCATGTGTCGGAATGCCTCCTTGGCCCAATTGGTGTTCGCAGTCTCCTGACAACCAGAACGGATGTCACATGTATTCAGAGGCGTTGGGTCACGGAGACGAAGCAGCTCATTGACAAACAAGCTGGAGCCCGTAGCGCCGTGGTAGCTCTCGGGATCATCAATGCGTAGGGAGGGCACGGACTTCCAGAGCATGCGCCAGCGCCTAGCGAGCACGCATGTCCGCACGGCGTCGCGGGAAAGCAGGAATGACATCATGTACTGGAGGAGTTCGTCCGGGAGGGCGCTGATGCGGTCCTCGCCACCAGCCACCGCCCTTTCCATGTTTCCCTCGTCGTGATGCCTCTTGGACATTCTGTCGAGCAGGTTGCCTCCACGAAAGCTGCCAAGTTGTTGGGTACATAGCGTCAGTGAGCGGGGGCAACCAAATGGGGAGTAGGCAGGGAAACCAAGACTATCACCACATCACCTCGTCTGCAGGAGCTGGTCCGGCAAGGTGCCTACACGGTCCTCGCCGCCGGCCGCTGCCGTTTCGATGTTTTCTTCGTAGTTGAGCCTCTCAGACATTCCGTCGAACACGTGGCCTGCGCCGAAGCTGCAGAGTTGCAGGACGCAGTGAGTCAGTGAATGAGAGCAGCCACATGGAGAAGATAGAGAAGAAGAATCCATGATTATCACCTCCGGCCGCTAGAAGAAGACCTGCGTGCTCCTCCTCCTAAGACGGTGCGCCGTCTCGCTTCTCAGTTGGTGGTGGTAGGAGAGGAAGACAGACAGAGAATGGCGGAAGAGTTCAGCACCACTGCCACCGCACGCTCGTCGGCGATGCGGCGAGTTCCAACGGGATTGGGGGCGATGCGGCGAGTTCCAACGGGATTTGGGGCGATGCGCGGCGAGCTCCAATGTCCGGCCGTGAGGCGTGGCATTTGTTCGTCTCTCCCGAAGCCTCTTTTTCTCTTGCTTGCTTTCTTTTTTCTTTCTCTCCCGAAGCCTCTTTTTCTCTTGCTCCAATGTCCGGACTTAGAATCCTTAGTGATTTTTTCTATGTTGATCGTTTGATTCATAGGACTGAATCCTATAATTTTTTTTAAGGATTCCTTGTACAAGCGTTTGAAATTTTTTAATCAAGCATTTGAAAAATGTTCAATGGGAATAGAAATTTTTTGACCATGTAGTAAAAAAATGTCAATCTTGTGTTTGAAAAATGTTAATCAAGCATGTGAAAATGTTCAAATATGTATAGCAAAGATGTTCACCATATATTGAAAAGTACTAAATGTGTATAAAGAAAATGTTTCTCATGTATACAAAAATATACAATGGATATGAAAAAAGTTAATAATATATTTAGAAAATGTGAACCAAGCATTTGAAAAAAATGTTAAACAAGCATTTGAATGTTAAATGTGCACAGAAAAAATGTTGACAGTGTGTTAAAAATGTTAATCTTGTATTTAAAAAATAATAATCAAGCATTTGAAAACGTTGAAATGTGTATAGAAAAATGTTGTTCATGTATGAAAAAAAGTTAATCTTGTGTTTGAAAAATGTTGCTCAAGCATCTGAAAGATGTTAAAAATGTGTTAAAAATGTAGAATGTAAACAATTGACCATGTATTAAAAATATTAAACTTGTACTTGAAAAATGTTAAACATGTATTAGAAAAATGTTCATGACGTATATAGAAAATGTAGAATGGAACCAAAAACTAACAAAGAAAATGAAAAAAACATGAAATCACCCAAAGAAACCAAAGAAAAAAGAGAATCGAAGCAACAAGTGCAAAAATAATGGAAACTATGAAAATCGATAGAGAAACATAGAAAGACATAAAACCATTGAAAAATAAGAAATAAACAAAAAAACGATAACAAAATAAGGCAAATGAGAAAGAAAGAAAACCTGATGAAAACCATGGAAGAAACAATAAGAAACCAAAAAAACAAAGAAAACCAAAAAAGATAAACAAAAGAAACTGAAGAAAACCAACGCAAAAGTGTGAAAACTGAGAAAGAAAAAGAAAAATGAAGGAAACAATAGAAAACCAACAAAGAAACAAAGAAAACCGAAACAAATAGAAAAATTGGAAAGTGAAGAAAAAAATCCAATGAAACCCGAAGAAAAAAGAAAGAATAGAAAAAACCAGTATAAATCAGGAATAAAAACCTGAGTAAAACTAAAGGGAAATAAAAATACCGAGGAACCTCGTGAAGAAATAAAAAAGAAAATGAAACAAAAAAATAAAAAAGATAAAAATGCAGCAAACACCACTGTAGCGGGCGAACAAACGCGCCCGAGAGAGCGAGCGCTGCATAATGGGCTGGCCCAATGCTGTACAGAGCATGAAAAATCTTTCAGGCGAGGCAGAATCTATTGTTCCCATCCAGCAGGCCCCACGCATGAAGTGCCTCCCATCTCCTTATCTCCTCCAATCCACACGTTTCCCAAAATCACTAATTAAGGATTACTCATTGCAAAGATCACTCTCATCTTTCTCAGGTTGTAAGAAGTGGCGCGCTGCATGTGCGCCACTTGTTGCAACCCAGGAAGTTTTCCTTTTTTCGTAGACCTGTTTATTCAAAACGTTTTATCTCTTAAACAATGCGTCTAAATTTTGAAGCGTTTTCACTATTGAATTCCTTGCGTCGAGATCTTTAAAACTAGATCCCATGTTGATAGGTTTTGACGAACTTTTTTTCACGAAAACACCAGACGAAAAAACTAAACCGGAAGCACAGGTTTTTCCCTTTCAGAAAGAGGCACGCCCGTGCCTCTCGCGGAAGAAAAACCGTGCCTCTCAACAAAGGAAAAAAAAAATAAAAAACGCATTTTTTTTCGTTTCCGAGAGGCATGACCATGACTCTCGCGGAAGCAAAAAAACAGAAAACACATTTTTTTTCCGAGAGGCACGGCCATGACTCTCGCAAAAGCACAACTTGGCCTCTCACGGAAGCAAAGCCGTGCCTCTCACGGAAGAAAAAAAAAATCAGAAAACGCGTTTTTTGCCTCTCGTGGAAGCAAAACCGTGACTCGTGAAAGGAAAAAAAAAGAAAACGCATTTTTTCGTGCAAATTTTTTCTTCCAAATTTTTATCCAAAAGCTAAGTACGGCCGGTGGAAAACCGAAACGTCGAAAAAACAAAAAAAACCATTTAAGCTGAAAACGTTTGCGGAAAAATAGAAAAAACAAAATATCCGGAAGGAACGCCCAGAGCGCGATATGTGACGGGCGACTGGGAGCGCCCCACGTGGCGTTAGTCGTTGTGAGGCTGCCGAAGAAGCACTCGTGAACTATTTGCTCTCAATGTATCCTCCCATGTCTCTTTCCCCCACAGATACGAGCAACAACAAGGTGCTCCTTTCCTAGCAGCGACGGCCCAGGGCCCAGTCTGGGGAGGGGGCCCAAGATATGCTATGTATGTGTAGTACAACCCGGGACCTCCTATGTGCCGCATTTTGCGTCAAAACAGGAGCTTGACGCACAAAGGCGACGCAGAACTGGGCAGGCCCGTCGAGTGAAAGCACAGCGATGTAAAAACACCCCGAAAAACAAGTAACCTACGATAGGATTCGATCCTACGACCTCTCTCACACAAAACAGCAGACCACGATCAGCTAGCCAAAATCTTTAATAACAGACAACAGGGTTGAGATTTGGAAAAACATTTTAGAAAGATTTCTTGATAAATTCGAATGATTTGAAATACAACAAATATTTTTTGATATTCCAAACTTTTTTCTGAAGAAATGTGAACAATTTTTGTAATCCGAATTTAGAAAAAAAAATTACCTAACAGTTTTCTAAAACGTGAACAATTTTGGAAAAATTAAATATTTTCTGACAATGTTATTTTTTAAAACAAAGAAATACTCTCTGAAATTCCTGAACATTTTTTGAAACACGAACATCTTATCTGAAAATTGAGAATATTTTTGAAATTCCTGTACATTTTCTGAAACATGAACATTTTATGAATGACATTCTGAACATATTGTGAAAAAAAGAATTTTGGTAGAAATTCCTGGACATTTTTAGAAAACATGAACATAACAAAAATTCAAAACAAGAACATTTTTTCAAATTAGTGAACATTTTCCAAATCACAATTTTTTCTTGAAATTGTCAACAAGGGTTTAAAAGAAGAACATTTTTTGACAATCCTGATAGACTTTTTGAAACAGGAACATTTTTAAAAATTGTGAACAAAATTTGAAAATAAGAAGGGAGCTAATTTTGAAAAGGAGAACATGTCCTAAATTTCTGAAAACATTTGAAATTCTCAAACAAAAGAAACATGAAAAAGAAAAAAAGAAATAGCAAAGAAAAGAAGGAAAAAAACAGAAAAATAAAAGAACAGTAAAAGAAAAGATTTTTTTGTTATTATGTTAACAATTTTTGAAACCAAGAATATTTGGGAAAGATGTAAACAAAAACTTTAAAGGAAATTTTTTTGAACTTTAAAACAAATTTTTTAAAGCATGATTTTTTTAAAGTCAGGAACAGAATTTGAAAAATGAGAGCATTTTTTGAACTTTGAACAATTTTTTGAAAGCATGAACATTTTTTCAAGTTGGGAACAAAATTTGAAAATGAGAACATTTTGTGAAGTTTTCAACAATTTTTTGAAAGCATGAATAAAATTTGAAAATGAGAATATTTTGTGAAGTTTTGAACAATTGTGAGCAACACAAATATTTTTTGAAAAAAAGAAAATAACTTTGAAAACAGAAAAACGAAAAAACGAAAAATGAAAAAGAAAGAAAAAGAAACAGAAAATAGAAAAAAAGAAACCTAAAAACGAAAAAAAGATGAAAAGAAAAACAAACGTTTTAGGAACCTCCTAGAAGGCCCCAAAACCGGAGAAAACTGGCTGGGAACCAGCCAGAACGTTCCCAAAACCGGAAACGCTCAAGCATTTAATGGGCTGGCCCACCCCGAGCCCTCGTTCAGATTCCCTGTGCGTCGCTCCAGCAATTTGCCGCAGCGAGCGGCAAATAGAGAAAACCGGACCTCCTATCTAGCGCGTTCAGCGCTGCCGAACCAAACTGGCGCTCACTGCGTCGATTTTTTGGGCCGGCCCATGAGCACACAGCAGTAGCCAAAAAACCAGAAAAAGTGTTGAGGTGAAGATTCAAACTCGCGACACTATATTGCAGTGCGCGCTTCGCTAACCATTAGACCCACACCACACTACTGACCCAAAATATCGCAAAAGCTTTAAGGACATCTGTAGCCGCGCTGTCCCAATAATTACATGTTCACAGGTTAAAAAAAGTTCACAAACTTGTTTCAAAATGAAAAGGTTCATGAGTTCAAAAAAGCTTACGAAAATTGAAAAAAGGTTCATAAATTTGAAACAGTTCACTAATTTCAGAAAAGTTAATGAATTTAAAAAGTTCACCAGTTTGAAAAACGTTCACAGATAAAAAAAAGTTCATGACAATTTTGAAAAAGTTCACGAAATAAAAAATAGTTCAAGAAAATTGAAAAAAGTTCACCAATTTTGAAATAAAGTTCATTAATTTGGAAAAAAATTCATCGATTATCATCAAAGTTCACAAATTTTGAA